GGTCTACTTTTCTGTGGTTGTGGTCCCTAATGAAACTAATATGTGAAAAATCACATTATGTAGATTTTTTATTCTATTGTAGAAGTTAATTTTTTCATGTTGGTTCCTCATTACTGAGGTAATAAGTATAAAAATCACTTTGTTCTGTAGCAATTCAATATTAATTAATGTTATTTTCCATTAGCACCCACTCAGTCCACCTTGTGAACCAGGTGCCAAGCAACCAACCACACCTCTCTTGCTTGCAAGAGAAAACAAACAGACTTTGCCAGTTTCGGTAACAAGAAAATATAAGTTACGTGTAAGTATAATGAACGATCTGAAAATTAAGGTGAACAAGGAACTTCTCAACGACTTGTTACTTCTGCTTTCCTGATATACGTTATGCTACTTGTGCTCCGCTCAGTAGGGATCAATGAACTGCACATACATACATACATACACCACAAGGTGTTGTTTTTTGTTCATTTATATTGTTCATCAAAAAAAACAGCATTCCCACCACTACTTATTTGTTTGTACTGAGGAACCTATTTGAGTGACTTCATCACTTGAGAGAGAAATGAAAATTTCTGTTTTTTACCACTTTCATTTGTAACTGAAGTTACTGCAAGTTTCGTCCTATGAGGACATTTTCAAACATTACATTATAGTAAAAATAAATGATAATATTACCTATCACCACTTTCGGTAATAACGTAGGTATTTAATTTAATTGAGTACCTGTATTTTGTTTACCTGTTACAATGTGGGTAAGCTAATTTGGAAACCGGTGAGTAAACTATATCGATTTGCTTATGCTTATTAATTTCTAAGGATTCCACATAATTGAGTTTCCAACCCTTGCTTGCATAGTACGAAATTTTCGTATCGTTTAGATTCGGGAACTTGTGGTTGCATTCCAAGGAATGAATGGTTTGAAAACGTCGAATCATTTTCAACTAGTCTGAAGGACCTTTCATGTTCAGCATAATGTTTTGAGAAATTTCGACCAAATTGTCCCACATAACACTATTACACTCCGGACACCTGGCATGTGGTCTGAATGGCACATCTACATTGTTTTTTTTTTCTGAAAAATCCTGCAATTATCTCTTTTCTTTTACCAAAATATGTTAGAGTTATAAATTTCTTGTTTTCTGATGTCCTATTTCCAAGAAGATGAATCTCCGAACCGGATATAATAATGTCAGGTCAGACAATTCAGCTTTCTGCTTCGATACGTTTATTGGGGGTTAAAATGGACACGAATATGTTTTGGTACAATCATGTCGCTGGAATTGCAAAGGCTGCTTCTCAAAAGCTTGTAAAACTGTTCCGTACCAGAAAACTGTTTCGAACCAGAAAACTGTTCCGAACCAGAAAACTGTATACACCTCAGCAACTCTTGATACTTTATAAAGCTTAGATCAGATCTTCTTTGGAGTATTGTTCTCATGTATGGATCTCTGCACCCAAATACACCCTGAAGTTGCTGGATTCCATCCAGAAAAGGTCCATCCGCCTGATTGGAGACGCGAACATCACATGCGATAGCCTGGAACATCGAAGAAAGGTTGGATATTTTTTCTCGTCTATAGATACTTTCACGGAAAGTGTTCAAGTGACTTAGCACATTTGATTCCACCAAGAGCAGTACATATCAGAAATACGCGACGGACTGTGGCTGCTTATCGTTTTGGGGTTCAACTCAGTACACCTCGAACTTCACTGTTTAAGAACTCTTTCATATGAAGAATTGCGTTTATGTGCAATAAACTTTCTGAGAACGTTTTTCCAAATGGGTTTATCTCCAGCGATTCAAATCTATTTGGAATCGCTACTTCAACTTTTGTTGAACTGTAAGTAACTCTGATTTAGGCACACATCGAAAGCTGTCAAAATTTCAAATGANCGATTGTTTTGATTTTGGTGTGAAATGATGGAGCATGTTTCATCCATTTCTGTACATTGGTGCATAAATTCGGGTTTTAGACGAAGATCAAAAATTGGGCATTGCTGATGCTGATGTTTTTTTTTATTATAAGGTTTCATCTTACTCAAATCCTATGATGCCTTTCAAATAAATCCCTTCTATAACACAAATAATCGAAAAAATCGTACCATTTTATTTTCAATTAATAACATCAATATTGCTGCATTGTATACAAGAATAAATAATACTGAATAGATTATCGATTGATGTTGTCAAGATTTCTAAATTTTTCTTGGAATATGGATCCTCAAGAATAATTTCTACCATTCCAATTGGGACTGTAGGGGATTTTTTTAAGTGGAATGGTAGTACCCGAACGTTTTCTAAAAGATTTTCCACCTTTGAAAATGGAATTATTGTTATAATTAAATGAGTCTTTCTCCTCACCCCCCACGAATTTCTTGTTGTTGTTCGTTATTTCAGGTCTGTTTGAACTTCTTGAGTAACAGGAAAGCATAAAAGCTCTCAGACAACGGTTTATTTGGAAATGAAAAATAAATTCCTAAGTTGTGTTCTTCTTCCCTAGGTTACAAAAAGGTTTATGAATCTGCTCCCCAGTTCAGATGCAATGACTAACAGAAACAAAAATTCTGTTAACGGCAACGGTGAAAGAGCAATCCTGAAAAAAAGATGTATAACCATGCAAGGCCAAATCATAGCCGTAGAGTAAAAAGGGGTTCACGGTCATGACATCACAAACAACTCAATGCCAAAGTTATGGGCGGAGAGTAAAAAAGGGGTTCCACCTCATTATGTTACACGCAACTCAAGGTCAACTCATAGGCGGAGAATAAAAAACATAATAGAAAAATTATCAGGAGGGAAGGGGGTTCAAAGTTACATCTTCTTTATATTTGAGCTCATGTATCGAGGGCAAAGCCGGTTGTCCAACCACATTTTGTGTTTGAGGCCATATGACGTGTTCTGAGCTCAATATCGATCAGAATTTTTCCCAAAGGTCATATGACGTGTTTGTAGCTCGAAATCGCTTAGGAAATTTCCAAGGTCATGTGATGTATAACCATGCAAGGCCAAATCATAGATGTACAGTAAAAAGGGGTTCACGGTCATGACATCACACACAACTCAATGCCAAAGTCATGGGCGGAGAGTAAAAAAGGGGTTCCACCTAATTATGTTACACGCAACTCAAGGTCAACTCATAGGCGGAGGATAAAAAACAAAATCAAGGTCACAATCAGTATTGTGGATCTGGGGGGGCATACCCTTGTGGGGAGGTCCAGACCCGTCTTTCCCTGCTGTGCGTATGAATAAATCTATGACATTTTATTAAATATCACTCAAACTCAAGGTAATACATCAGTAATATCGTTCAAAATTTTTCCCAAGGTCATATGACGTGTTTGTAGCTCGAAATCGCTTAGGAAATTTCAAAGGTCATGTGGATGTAAAACCATGCAAGGCCAAATCATAGCTGTACAGTAAAAAGGGGTTCACGGTCATGATATCACACACAACTCATTGCCAAAGTCATGGGCGGAGAGTAAAAGAGGGGTTCCACATCATTATGTTACACGCAACTCAAGGTCAACTCATAGGCGGAGAATAAAAAAACGAATCAAGGTCACAGTCAGTGTTGTGGATCTGGGGGGGCATACCCTTGGGGGGAGGTCCAGACCCGTCTTTCCCCCCCTACTAATGTGACGAACGATACCGCAATTTACGCTCATTTATTCTGGAGCCGAGTGGGTAAGCAGCAGCTGCAGGTCCATCTCGACAAAACGGCGTCTGAATTTTCAGGAACCCTTGAGTCTAGCGATTCAACGAGCGGCTGTGGTGATAAAATACAGGTATCCGCTCATTGCACGGAACTCCAAACCCAGTGTCGACAACAAGTTGGTTATTTACAAACAAGAAATAGAACCAGCTATGTTTAGGCCTGTCCTGTGTTCTGCAGCCTTAAGAGATACTCGAAAGGATGCAGAACAAGGTGCTGCGTATTTGCACGAATAGTGACAGATGCATTTCATTGGTTGATATGTTAAATCTGACTCAAGTGGAGACAGTCACTGAACATATCAGGAGGCTCTCTTAGAAATTCTTCAAGTTCTTTCTGCCGATATCTTCTATGAACGGCGAGAACACGATCACGCTTAGTCCATGGACAAATTGGATAAGATAATTCACGCTGTAGCGTAATAGCAGAATTACTCATGCCTGGTTTTTTCTGAGCTTTTTCCAAGAGGTTCCGAACAACTAACATGAGCTTGATTGATGCAACTAGTTCTCCTTTTTTTCAATATTTCAATATTGTACGTTACGTTAAAATATTCAAGTGACGTATTCCTGAAACAATTTTAAGAAAAAAAGTCTTTATGAAATTGTGTCCAAAAATGCTTCGTTTCGGAGATAGGGGGTGTTGAAATTGAATTTTTTTTTTCGCTTTTTGAAAATAACTCTTGCAAAAAATGAGTTATTTGCACGAAATTCGGTACCCGGGGTTTTTTNTATATATATATATATATATATATACATATATACATATATATATATATATATATATATATCCAAATATGCAGCCAAACTTTAGAAATTTTCGGATTTTTCCGGTTTTTGTCAACAAAAAAGCTAGAGTCGATTTGTTGGTATCATTCAATAATGCCTAGCCAAAAATTCTCCATAATTCACCCTACTCTCTCTCTCTCTCTTAACGTTTACGAGACCCATATGCATATAATCCTTGTTTTATATAAAATATTTTCACTCAGTTTAATTTTCGTTTATTCATGTAGATGAAGTTCGCACAGGACACTATAAGAAACTATACCATCCAGAACAATTAATAACGGGAAAAGAAGATGCTGCAAATAATTATGCTCGAGGTCACTATAGCATAGGCAAAGAAATGTTGAACATAGTTATGGAGAGACTGAACAAATTGGCAGAAAACTGTCATGGTCTTCAGGGATTCTTCCTTTTTCATTCGTTCGGAGGCGGAACTGGTTCGGGATTCTCTTCTCTTTTGATGGAAAAGCTTTCTCAAGAGTTTGGAAAAAAAAGCAAACTAGAATTTGTCGTTTACCCAGCACCTCAGGTATTATAATATCAGAATTTATCATATACTTCTTGCTGTTCACTTTTGGATTTGATTACCGTTTTTAGTTTCACTTGAAAAAGAGCAGACATTTTAAGTTCATGATGTTGACACACTTGCTGTTGAACTTATTCTGAACTGTCAAATATTATGCCAATTGTTACAAATACCTATTCATATTCACCTATTTCAACGTTAAACTAACTGAAACAGTTACGGTGTACTCGAACTACGAATATAAATTTGAAATTTCTGAAAATGACTCTATTACTGGATTTTTGACATTCATCTTTAAAATAGGGTTGGCAACCATACAACAACATATGATTCCTCTTTTTTGGCAAGAGCGAGTGTGATATGTGGGTCTCGGTACGTTACATTAGAATGCGTATTAGACACTCAACATATTTGAATTATGTGTTGATGATGACGAAAATTCGCCTTATCAGAGACCCCTCTCTGATACAGAGTCTGGGATGATTGCCCCACTCGCTAACCCTAAAGCGACATTCTTGTTTTAGAATTGTATACCTATGTAATGAATTAATTAAACACAAAATTATTCAACATGATTAAATCGAAATTTCCCAATGGTTTCTAGACGTTTGCCAGTAGAAAAAATGAGATATATTTGAACTGGTTCAACTGGGCAAATGTCATATTTTATTGTTTGAAGGTGATTGACAATGTTTCATGATGAATTTCACTAGTTCGGACTTCCATTGTCTACTACATAAAATGATTTGAAATCCCTGAACCAAGNTTATAAATGTCAAGTTTCATCACGATCGGTTGAGCGATGTAGAAGTTTATCACTTACCAACCAACAAAGAAACATCCATTCATATTTAAAATGTTTATCGCGCTGACTGACGGTCTTTTCCCCATCAAAAATACAACTGACGATTTTCATCATAATTCTAAAAGTATAAAAATATACATGTAGGAATTCAATAAGGTATGAAATAAACTTATTTGTTGAATTTTCAATGAGGCACGTGACTGACATATAACCCCCCCCTCGTCACTACGGCTGAGAGAGGTGAAATTTTCAGAAAAATCATGCTTTGCGTTTTCCAGAAACAGTTGAAAATTTTGAACTGTGTCAAAATTAACAAAAAAATTGAAAAATGTTCCTCGCACACCACTGAAAAAACCAAGGACCTTTATTTCACCATCAACTTTATATTTCTCTTTGAAGAATTTGATGGTTGGTACATAGATACCTTTTATTTCTGTGTCGACTTCAGCAGGTTTGTCTATCGCTAAATATCAATTTTTCTAATGGAAACTGTGGTAACTATTAGGTGACGAATGGTGTGATGTCTAATGTTTCTCAGAAGAAGAAGAAATAGAAAAGATCCTATGATGTAAGGAAAGGCTTCAGTATCATTACAATATCTGCACTGGGTTCCGTCTTGGAATCAACCTGGTATTCCTATTGGGTTCACTACACATCTTGTCATTTTAACAGTTTCTTTTAACTCAGATGTTGTCAGACCCTCTTGAGTTTTCATCTAAGCATTTACTGGGGTGTTCTGGTCGTAAAGTACCACGCCTCTTCCTTTCATTTTCAAATTCTTCCAGTTATTATGTCGTCTTTCCCTAAGAATGTCTCTCAACTTTCCCCCAGATAGATCCGTTTGTCATTGTCGATAACTATATTCAGTTGTTTCAAACATGTGTTAGCTTCATCATCAAAATATATTATTTTCTCTAGTAGCACATTTTGTTGTGATCTTTTTTTGTGTTATATGGAAGCTTTGAATAAATGCTTTCCATGATGCTCTGAAAAAATTTAGTCCTTGCACTTTTGAAGACGAGTAGAGCTTGCTGTCTGGAATATCTGAAAGTAATTTATCTCGGGATGTCGACTGAAATGAGTACACCCATGATGGTCATATTAAAAAGTTCCCTATTTTGAATTTTTGATAAAGTTTAAGCAGAGGAAAAGAGATGAGACTTTCCAGGTTTCATTTCAATTGATGATTTTGCAGGAGTTCATTACTATCGCCGCTTGGAAGGTTGTTCGGGGGTTCTGATCAGACCTTCTTTGGAGTATTGTTCTCATGTATGGAACTCTGCTCCCAAACATACCCTGAAGTGCTGGATCCAATCCAGAAAAGAGACATCCGCCTGATTGGAGATGCGAACATCACGTGCAACCTTGATAGTCTGGAACATCGAAGAAAGGTTGGAGATTTGTCTCTCTTCTATAGATACTTTCACGGAAAGTGTTCAAGTAACTTGGCACATTTGATTCCACATAGAACGGTACATATCAAAAATACACGACGGACTGTGGCTGCTAATCGTTTTGAGGTTCAACTCGGTACACTACGAACTTCACTGTTTAAAAACTCTTTCATCTGGACTGCGTTTATGTGGAATAAACTTCCTGAGAACGTTTTTCCAAATGGATTTAATCTCCAGGCACCGCTCTGAGTGCGCCTTAAGGATTTATTGTAGCGCTTGTGCCAACTCCAGTAGTGAAAGAGCATTTTTCTGATCTTTAGCAATCAAGAGAGTATCATCAACAAAATGTAAGATGGAAACGGAACAGTTTTGTCCAAACAATAACTATACATATTAGCAGTGGATAACTTTGACAGCTCGTCCATTATGAAATCTGTGGCCAGATTATATAAGGTGTTCCCTGCATCACTTCTTTTTTTAAAAAAATCTTTTTGTTTTTCCATTTGAAGTTTCAACCTGAATATAATTATTTCGTTAAAGGTTCATCGAAATATTCTGCAATATTCTGGTGGAGAGGATAATAGTTTTGTTTTGTCAAGATGATCACAGCCAATGTTCTTAATTGATGTCCAAAAAACAACACTGTAATATCACTTTTATTAATTTTCGCATTCTTCAAAAGTCCCTTGAGAATAAAAGCATCCATTTGAAATCTCTCTTTTTTATCTACTTTCTTTGGATATTCTCACCTTCCATAAAAACTGATTTTCCTCCACAAAACATGACTTTCGTTCAATATTCAGATCTCTCATTTTGAAATTCTATCAATTCAGAAACTCACATTATGCGCTTGATGAGTCTTCAGCCCAGCATAGTATCATAAGATGAGGAGGATCATGCTTCTTATTCTTCAAAAATACTTCAGAAACGAATACTGAAAATTATAACGGTAGTATCGTTGCGATTTTCCAATGGCAAATTATACAAGAACACGTTTTACTAATTCTTTACAACAACAAAAATATACCTACTCATCATATGTCCAACACAATATAGTACAAGAATAGATAGAACACAGTAAAATCTTACCTAAAGCTGTGAAATTAATTGCACAAAGATACTTTGCCTAAATTGAACCACAAATATTGAATATCAATGTGATTCATAAAAAACATAAGTCCACATTTCTTATACTTTTAAAGTTCATTTTCCTGGTTAAAGAGGGTGTTTCACATTGACAGTAACTATTACACAATTCACTTTGAATGATCAATAGTTCCATCGATCACAAATAAAAATCTGACGATCAAAAGTCAACAGGCTGCTTTTGCAGTCAGTAAAATAGAATGGGTTTTTGAACATATTCATTTTCAGGTGTGTACTGCAGTTGTTGAACCATACAATTCGATATTGACGACACATGCAACACTGAGCCATACTGATTGTGCTTTTATGGTGGATAACGAAGCAATCTATGATATTTGCAGACGAAAACTTGGAATTGAAAGGCCTGATTACATAAACCTCAACAGACTCATCAGTCAAGTTGTTTCTTCAATCACAGCTTCTTTGAGATTTGATGGAGCTCTGAATGTTGATTTGACAGAATTCCAAACAAATTTAGTGCCTTATCCCCGAATACATTTTCCAGTTGCCTCTTATGCACCAGTAGTTTCTTCTGAAAAAGCTTACCATGAAGGGATGTCTGTGGCTGAAATTACTGCAGAATTATTTGAACCTACGAATCAGATGGTTAAATGTGATCCAAGAGAAGGTATGTTTGAAATATTCATACACAAATACTTCGTTATATCCATTTGATTTACTTTAAAGTTATCACATATTGCTTTTAATAATGAATATATGCATAAATGTAACAACATAAAATTTTTTGGTCTAAAGGATAACTTTATAACACGTATTGGCGATTATTTTTCAAACGAGTAAGTCAAGAGTTGCATTGAAGTTCTGAAATTGTTTAAGATGTTGTCATTGTTGCTTTGTCAATCACTGCTATTTGTCTTTATGTTACTTCTTAATTTTGAAGAGAAGGCGATTTTTCCGTTTACTTTTGTTCCAATTCCAAGTCGTTTGTTATTTCATCAGTTCAACAATCGCAATTCTGAAAGAGTCACCACCCAGTAGACTCTCAAGTCATGCTATAGAAATGAGCATTTATCTAAAGACCACATTCTCTCACAGTAACTGAGAGAAGACGAACTTTTTTTTTAAAGTGTCAGAAGCTGTCATCAGTAGAATACTAGTTGCTTGATCTAGTAATGCCCTCTGGTATTTCAAGTCTTCAATTTTTTGGCCAGTTCTGGATTTCCGAAGAAATTTGCGTCGACAAATACAGAATCAGATATTGGCTTTGGGTATTGTTAGATTTAATGTTAGATGTTTGTTGTAATCTGATATAAACCAATTTGTATTGTGACGTTTCGTCCATTAAATTTTATGATCAACCTTTTTTTTTGAAATACAGACTTCCAGTTTTGTTTCGATTTTTGTAGTCATTGTAATAACAAATTCAGCTATGTATTACTATACATGTGTGAAGTTAATGTACTTAAATGTGCGTTGTAAGATATTGGTTTCTACCTTTTTGAGACTATTCAAATAGTGATGATGGGTTTTCAGAGACAACCGTCACATCGTACATCTCACAATATCACAAACCTCGCTTCTGCAAGTCACACCCCCGTTTCCACTACCAACCCCACCCTCGCTTGCACTGCCGATTCACTCCTCCACTCGTCCAGGGACAAAAATACCAGACCAGAGCACAAGTACTGGTAGAGAGAGATAATGGTGAATCAAAAGTATTTTAATTCAACCCGACGTTTCGGTTAAGCACCCATTAATATAATTTAATAAAAAACCGAAACATCTTGTTGAATTAAAGTACTTTCGATTTACCATTGACCCTTCACCAAATCGCAATCAAAATTAATTTATAGTATTCCTTGTACCAGCTGCAGTGCTGAACATATAGAACACTGGGCAGAATCATTAAGAGTTAGTAAGTCTCCAGATGAAATCGATGGCAGACTACATCCTGAGAGATGTGCACTTAGTGAACATGTTTACAGGAAGGACCATACAATGGACTAGGATTTTGTAGAGATTATTGCGAAAGAATGCTACGCTGATATTCCATCATTCCCTTGTTACCTGAAATTGCCCTTTAGTTATGTATCGTTTTTATATCCTCTATACTATAACAATTTTCAATTGAAGGTGATTCATTAACAACGTCGCACTTGAAGTGACCAACGGATAATCCTCTTACAAATTGAAACACATAGGTAATTACGTAAAAATTGTTATAGTAGGTGGCTTTACCTGGTGTCAATGGTAAAACATCACATTTTCTTATTATGCCTAATAAAGTACTTCAAAAAAACAGAAAAATTTACAAAATAATTATTATGTTCCTTTTATATAGAAAGAGAACTACAAAGCAAAGGAATAATTACCTATGTTATGCTTACTTAGTTTCAGAATCCATTGACTCGTCCGAAGAAGAATCCCCAGTCACACTCAAATCTATTATTATTTGGTCGAAAACAGTGTCTACCATCCCGTCCAATCTCCACATTTTCCCTTCCAATCCCAATCTTCTTTCCGTATCCGTTCCATTGCGAGTTCTAATAAACGTTGGACATCAGAAATTTTATATGTCACGTTTTCACGAGTTACATAACCCTTAATTCGAGCCCAGATTAATTATATCGGGTTTAACTCGCAATGGTAAGAAGGAAGTCTCAAAATGGTGATGCCTTCAGTACGAGCTATTGTATCCACCACATGCTGGCGATATCTGTCACGATGTTGTTTAATGACACTCATAAGCTCGGCCTTAACCATGTCCTTGAAAAATGGAATTCCTTTTTGTCCTAACCAACTCTGCATGTCTACTTTTCTGGTGGTCATAGTTGGCAGCTGTTCTACTAATCGGCTGTGATAAGAAGCGTTATCCATTACTATTACCGAATTTGGCTCGACTCGTGAAAGAAGGGATTCAAACCATCCTTCAAAGCGTTGGGCGTCCATGACTTCGTGATAATCCCCCGTTTTTTTTATAAAAAAATCAGTGTACTATCGTCTAAAAAGCCACTCTCGCTACCTATATGGGCGACAATTAATCGTTGCCCTTTACCCGTTGGTCCGCGTAACCCTGATGATAAACCGTCCACAAATGCTGGCAAGATACTACTGTAACTAGTTACAGTAGTATCTTGCCAGATCTTAGATACTGTGTGACCAGCATTCACCCACGTTTCGTATAGATAATAATTTTTTTTGTGAGCAGAACGCATTTCTTTAATAGAGCGAACATATCTCCGTCGCCATGAGACTATATCTTCTCTTTCTATTAAGACAGATTTACAGGATCGTTTGGCATAAATAAATTTTAAATCTTTTTTTATTATTTTCCTTAACTTCTCTTTGCTCATTTTTGGAATGAGATCATTATCCATTACCTTTGTCCTAATGGATTCGAGGGTTGGCGCTTTATTCTCAAAAAAGACAGAATGAATGGTATAGCGTACAAAATTTTTCTGGTACTCGTCCAATTAAATTTTTTTTCTACCACGACAATGTACTTTTGGAGCTTGCACAATCCCAGTCACCTTTTTTTTCCACCTACAGTGCGTTCAATTGTCGATACGGATATTCCCGTTAAAAATGAACACTGGGCTACAGCTTTCACTATACGGAGTGTATTTTTTGAAATCTATTGGACAAAAGTCTATCAATTCTGTAGTGAAACAGGCAATATTAGACTTGCTTACGATTTGTTTGTCACAGAATTACTTCCAATTCAATGAATTTTTTACTCATCCTGAGAAACCCAGCATGAGTAATAATGGGAAACTCACTTAGTTTCATTCTGGCAGAAATTTTCATGGGCGATTTGGAGAGAAAAATACACAGTAACCCACTGATAAGAAGTTTCGTGTATTGGTATAGATATGTTGATGATATCCTGGTATGTTTCACAGAAACGTTCTTGAATTTCATTAATTTTCTCCACCCTTCTGTCACATTCACAATAGATATGGAAAAGGACGACTCTATAAATTTTTTGGATTTGACAATAACGACAGTTAACAATAAATATGATTTTTCAATTCATCGTGAACCAGCACATACAGATTATCATTCATAATTCGTCCACCCATCCGCATCAGCACACAGTAGCAACATTCAACAGTATGATCCACAGACTGATAAATGTTCCCTTGTCAGATGCGAATTTCAATAAAGAACTGAACATAATGAAATAAATAGCCGTTAACAATGATTACGATATAGCAGTCTAATACATTCTCTGTTATCAAAAAAGTTATACAGCCAAGATTTGAAGGAATTTTACCCAATTCGTTGAGATGAGGATGAAAGTTATAAAACCTTAAGCTTCTTAGGCCAACTCACTACGAATATTTCAAATTTTTTGTACAACAAAGGTGTACCAACCAACAGCAACTTAAGCTAGCACATTAGGAATAACAAAAATAAAAGTTCAGTTTCAGAAAAATCGGGAGTGTATAAATTATCATGTTGGTCATGTCCGATGTTTTTTATCGGTCAAACTGGAAGTCCGTTCAACGCCCGCATGAAGGATCACAGAAATAGCTTCCAGAATGGAAAAATAAACTCCAGAAGAAAGGTTCAAAACTTTACCTGTTGGAGAGTATGGAAATAAACAAATTTAAAAACTCACAATATCTTATGAACGATTAAATTGAACTGAATAAATCGCCATTATTGAATCTGTTTATTTCCAGGTAAGAAAATTTAAGTATAATTACGGTACTTTCGGAAATTTCATTTATTCATATAGTTAATAAATTTATACTTGACCTTTTCAGGTAGATTCATTCATTAGGAAGTAAGCATAGAAGTAGGTAATATTTTAGAGTATAAAATAGTTGTAATTTAGAAGTACCTTATTATTTTACGCTTGAGAAAGCTTTTGTATAGTGAAACACGTGTCGCAGTTTTTTGTGAAACACTTCATAGTGAAAATCATACAATAAACTGTATAAGTAAGTTTCAACATGGATTTTCATCAAGTATTGGCCAGTTCTTTTCAATTGTTTTTTATCTTTATTCAACATTATTGATGATGCAAAGCTCCAAGCGGGGCTTCGTTCTTGATATAGAACTATTACTGATTAACAATATTTCTCTTAGACGAAGGTTTCAGACATGCAGTCGAGGTGCGTTGAAATTGATCGAGTCCCAGGCACTTTTGCTGTCTGGGTCGGATCTTTCCTGCACTGATGAGAGGTAATACCTCGAAACCGGTCTGTAGGTAATCTACTTTCAGCTTTCTGAAAAATCCCCTGCAAGTAGCCATCGATGGATATTTCTCGAATACTTCCACCATTAACGCTGGTGTTCCCCAGGGATCCATATTGTCTCCAACCCTCTCTTTATTGTATATCAACGACTTATTAGAAAAAACTAAGAATTCAATATATTGCTTTGCTGATGACAGCACACTTGTCTCGTCATTCCATTTGGATTCCAGGACATCGGCTACGGAGGCACATCTTCACCGGCATCAGGAGATTGCATATCTTAATGAGGATCTAGAAGTGATTTCGAATTGGGGTGAAAGTAACCAGGTTCAATTCAATGCCACAAAAACCCAGGCATCGGTTTTCTCCAAGAAAATGAATGTCTTCGAACCGAATATAAGAATGTCAGGTCAGACAATTCCGCCTTCTGCTTCGATAAGTTTGTTGGAGGTTAAAATGGACACCAATATGTCTTGGCACAATCATGTCGCTGGAATTGCAAAGGCTGCTTCTCAAAAGTTCGGAATACTGTTCCGAACCAGGAAACTGTACACACCTCAGCAACTTTTGATGCTTTATAATGCTCAGATCAGACCTTCTTTGGAGTATTGTTCTCATGTAAGGAGCTCTGCCCCCAAACATACCCTGAAGTTGGATTCCATCCAGAAAAGAGCCATCCGCCTGATTGGAGACGCGAACATCACGTGCAACCTTGATAGCCTGGAACACTGAAGAAGGTTGGAGATTTGTCTCTCTTCTATAGATAGTTTCATGGGAAGTGTTCAAGTGACTTGGCACATTTGATTCCATCAAGAGCGGTACATATCAGAAATACGCGACGGACTGTGGCTGCTCATCGTTTTGAGATTCATCTCAATAAACCTCGAACTTCACTTAAACATTATCCAAAAAGGTGCATTATCATATTCTCAGGTATTAACCCAGACAGATGTAAATAAAATAAACAGTTATTCTGATTCAATTATCATCAAGCCAAAATTATCTCAAGATTTATCAAAAACGAAAATAAATCTCAGCAACAAAATTGATATGGGTAATCTCAAGATTATTATTGCATCAGTGAATATAACTGGAGTTTTATCCCAACACCAAACCGTTATTTCAACACCTCGACACGTGTTTCGATCACTAAGTGATCATCTCCAAGAGGAAGATTAAAGTTTAATCTTCCTGATAAAATAACGGTTTGGTGTTGAGATGAAACTCCAGTAACATTCATTACTATACCAAAGGTTCCAAACAGTGCATCAAAATTGCATCAGTGAAACAAAGTAAACAGGAAGGACTGAACATATTTTCCAAAAAAAAATCATATTGAAAAGGTTTAAAAAAAAAGATCAACTCAAGAATTAAAATTGTAGGTCTATCTCTTGAAGAACCAATCCAAAAATAAATTCTTCAACAAATGATAAAAGAACAAAACTCTTTCATTAGTGAAAACGACTTTATAAAAATAAATCACGTGATATATGTATGGTGAAATGGAATAACGGGGTCTCTCAGACAAAAAATTAAAAATCAAAACTCTACTATACTTTGCCAAGCTTTCGCTCTTCAGGGCAGTCGCTAAGATTCTCAACTTTATATATGTATGTTTATATTTTTAGGATTTCAGTTCTGCTTTATCTTTTTTTGTGCTCTAGTCGTCCTTAGTTATGTTATAGTTAGTTTTTGAATTATTGTATGTTTTTTGGGAGAATAAATAAATCATTATTATTATTAAGAAGAACATGTGATGTTTCAATTTCAGATTTAGTTTGAGCAAAGAAATCAAACTGTCGGCAGTTTTCGTATTCAAAGTATTTATAAAGATCTAAAAATAGTATCATCGCCATTGAATAGTAACAAATAAACAAATGATGTAGCAAAATTCTCGAAGAGAAATAATAAATATCAAGAAATCACCTCGTATGCAATGGACAGAATATAAAATATTCGTGTATCACTAAAATTTTGGGTTTATATGGTAAATAACAACTTTCTTGGGCATTTATTTAATACTTACGGAAGAAAATATCTTCACTGATAGGTGTTTCATTTCAAATTAGGATTATATTTACCAAAAATATCTCAAATTGATGTCTTTCAGTTTGGTTCATTCAAAATAACAATGTCTAGAATCATTATGGGGAACTGTTAATCCTTCAATCACACAGTCCTTAAAATCTATGCAAAATAAACCGTTTCATTATCCACTCCTAATATATACCTTTAAAATTAACTTTCAATGCATTGGAATTAACAAAAATAACTATTCATCTGTAAAATTTGAGGCTGTTGAATATCTTATTAACAAATCTAAAAATCATAATATCGAATAAATAACACAAAATACCTATGTGTCATTCTTCATTACGAACACCAAGTACAACATGCTACTGAAAGTCAGTTAAAAAAAAACCTGGTGAAATGATTACCATATCTATTCAACAGTTCAAGATTTGTATAGGTATACATACGTAGAAATAATTCAGTTCCTGGTGATATTTAGTTTTATAAATTTTGGTAAAGTATCCCTGTCATAAACATTTGTATTTGTTGGGGCCCATAAATAATTGATCGATTGATTGATTTTCAGATCATTTAAAGAAAATTATAATTTTCATAATATAACAACTTTTCACTTCGTTTTTTCTAGGTAAATATATGGCCTGCTGTCTCCTTTATCGAGGTGACGTAGTACCTAAAGACGTTAATGCATCTATAGCCCAAATGAAATCTAAAAGCAGCGTTAGATTTGTTGATTGGTGTCCGACAGGTTTCAAAGTTGGGATCAACTATCAACCACCAACAGTTGTAAAGGGAGGCGACTTAGCAGGAGTACAGAGGGCTGTTTGTATGCTCTCTAACACCACTGCAATAGAATCTGCATGGAGAAAACTAAATAAGAAATTTGATCTCATGTTTGCCAAACGAGCTTTCGTCCACTGGTATGTTGGCGAAGGGATGGAAGAAGGCGAATTCGGAGAAGCAAGAGAAAACTTGGCAATGCTGGAAAAAGATTACGAGGAAGTTGCATCAGAAACAATGGATTATATTGGCGAAGAGATTATGTGATTTTTTTTCGAATTTCAAAACGATTGGACAGTCTCATAACAACTGAAATTAGAAAATTATTTCAACAATGATACAAGTGATGAAACGGTACCTAATAAAAATTATGGATATGGCACATTTGGTATGGTCATTTTTATATTGTTGTTGTACGATATGTGAAAGATAATTTTGAAAGCACTCCGGACTTAACATTGGAAGTGCCTCTTAAAATATTTATTTTTGCTGAGGAGGGTCAAAATTAATTAAAACTCAGCAACTAGCAAGCGCATATGTGAAATATAATGGTAAACGCTTTTTAAAAGATCGCTTTGAAGTTATATTCATCAATTTAGAACTAGTCTTCAAGTTTAATTGAGGAGCCAATCCGAAAAATATTCAATATTTTCGTGTGAGATATACTTAATTAAAAATATATCATGGCCGAATGCGAGCTTACGGGATGTAACATGTCTTGATCATATTCTTCATGAAAATTTCTACTCAGAGTACAGAAAACCTCATAGCAAATTTTATTCCAACAGATTCAACTGATTACTACGCGACACTCGTTCGAAAGGTCACAAATAATCATTCGAAGGAGAAGAACTACAAGGGCACTCAAATGATACCTGACCTCCATAGCTAATACGATTGCATCATAATCCTTTCGCTTATTTACTGGAATATTTTGAAGGCCTTTTCTCGTGGTGCCAGTATAAGAGCTATTACTTTCACCTCATTTTTTCATGCATTATTTTCCGTAGCAGCCTCAAATTGTCTGCGATAAATTGACCATGAAGATTCGCCATCGAAAGTTGGAGTTTTATTGAAACTACTGCTAGAAGGGGGAGATGTTGTTTCCGTTTTGCATTTTTCCATAGCGGTTCTTTTAGGCTCAGGTGTTCCCGGCAAACCGTTTCAAATTTGTTGTCGACTCCTTCCGGCTTCTTTTCTAATTTTTTTCCATCTCCTTCAAGCTTCTCTTCAAATTTCCTTTCGACTCCCTCAAGCTCATCTTCAGACTTCCTTTCAACCCCCTCAAGCTCCTCGTCGACCACTTTTTCCAATCCCTCCGTTGTTTCCTAAAATACTTTACTAAATTATTCCTGAATGAATTCCTGTACTTCCCCTTTACTCGTTCAAGAATATTTTAAATCTCCAAATAAATGAATGTACATTTGATGGTTTTTTTCTTCTTTCTCCTGAATATTTACCAATAATTTACGATATTCGTCTTTGGCTCTTTTTTGTTTCTTCTGAATGTTAAGTAGTAATTCATGATCTACAATTCGGCGTAATCGTTCTTCCTTTCCATATTCTACATGTTAGGAATCAACCGTTAAAAGGTAAGACCTCATTAGTCCTTAGGTCGCACAAGTTTCTCAACTTCTGAGAGTTGTCGTTCGTATGGGGGTGACAGCTGATTAACAGAAAAACAGATTTTAAACAAGTTTTTTAAACATTCATCTACCTCTCTTCTGCCTTCTTCATTCGCTCTTCTGCGTTCATTTTTCTCTCTTCTGCGATTTTCATTCTCCGCCAGGCCCACTTGCAAAGCCTCGAACATTTTATTAAGCTCTGCTTCCATCTCTTCGTATCCACTCTCCTTGTTTTCACCATAAAACAGAAAATTTTCAGTCAATTATTTCACTTCCGACACTATATGTTACGTTTTCCCCAAGGGTTTGACAATAATTGACTACACTGTACCATTAAACTCAACTTCATTTCACTGCTACACTGAGTACAAAACAAGTACTGAATACAAAACTTTAAACTAGTATTCAAATGTCTATCGTCATATCAGATCACTTTGTATCGCACTAACGAAAGTATCTGGAAGCCTATAGGAAAGTCGCTGAAAGTCTCTCGAACTGATGCGAAATATAGAACAATCGCGAAGTTGAGCGCGACCTTGGAAAAGTCACAATCGATTGACGATGACCAGCGGCAGCTGGCCTTATTTTTTTAGGGGATGATTTACAAAAGTATAGTATAACTCCAATAAAGAATTTTAGAAATTGTTGGAGTTATTTATCCAAATTAAATTATTACTATTTGGAAATGGAATGATTTTATCGGGCACCATACATATCGTTTCCACAACTCAAGATACTAGGAATGATCACATTGATCCTGACTGACTAATCCTAAATAATGTTTACCTAGTTCCCTTTGTAACATATTTTGCTACAGGTCAGTTACTATTTGCGCCAATGTCATCAGTCTTTTATTTTCAATCCTTCCACGTTATTCTAAGTTCAAAGGAATCGTGTCATATTAACGCCCCGAAAATGAAATTCATACTTGTGATGCACTGTTAGGAACCTTTGGTGTAGTAGTGCATATTACTGGAGTTGTATCCCAACACAACAACAATGGTGTTAATGTATCGGTAATGGTGTAACTCCAGTAATATTTATGAACTTCATACTTCATGCTAATGCAGTTTTCTCTCTGGCTGCCTGAAATGAACAATTTGGGTATTCGAGCTCATCAGCCAAAATTATGAGAAAAAGGGCTCGTATATATGATAATGAATTGGAAATGGTAGAGTGCTATTTTCTCCGACAGCCAGGTGACAATTAAGGCGCTCAGCTCATTTCAAGTCTTCTCAAGACTGGTGGGAAGCTGTCTGAGCGCACTCAAGGAGCTAAGTACCCAAAAATAGGGTCACAAGGGCAATGAGGAGGTCGATGTTATAGCCCATGAACGCGCTATGATCGGTCCAGAACCCTTCTGCGGGGTGGCGAAAGCATGTATAAAGACATCCATAAATTCATGGATGCAAGCCGAATCGATAGATTGGTGGAATAAGCTCCCAAGAATGAGGCGAAAGAGTTCATGAAGAATCCATCGCCCAGATTCACGGAAGACCTGCTAAGGTTGTAATGATAGTGGTGGGTCTACTAACGGGCCATAGCCGATTCAGGAAACATATGAGCAATCTGGGTCTGACAGAAAAAACCCAATACAGGTTCTGTCAAGAAGAGGAAGAAACCGCACTTCATGTGCTCTGTGAACGCGAAGCACTAGCAAGGCTGAGACCCGCAAGATGCGGGGAAGAGAAACCAGAGGCTGCCAGCTATATGAAGGGGTCATTGTCAAGGCTCTGGATTCTCATCAAAGAGATCAAGCTAGACAATGAGCTCTAACAACCAAGTAGCATCACAATAGATCTGAAAAGGTCGCAGTGAATCAGGCCATGGGCTAGCTCTCCGACAATCTAATTTAATGGTAGAGTGAGGAGATAAGATTTTTAATAGTGACTGGGATCAAAACGACACTGTGTTGATACTTATTTAACCAATTTCTTGCTTATTATGAAAATTTGTGTAGTACTTTTGAAAGTGTTGTATTTTCTTGGTAATTGAGAGATATGGTTATTGGTCTTTAGAAACACCTCGTAGTTGCATTGGGTTTTTGCAGTAGAGGTAAGCAATGATTCATTCGTCACTCTACTTAATTATGTTTTGAGGAATTATGTTAGTTCATGCTATTTTTGAATTAAGTGAAGAACAACCTTTCTTAGGTGAATGTTGTTGATCGAGGTATATAACTCCCCAGAGACCCCATGTTCATTTGTAAGTCATTTTACTCAACATTTCTCATCGTTTCTGTTCTTGTTACAGTGACCGGCTCCGACTCACCCTTACTGCCTTTCCTCATGTTTTCAAGCAAGCTTAAAAAAATATTGTGATTTTAGATTTCAAAGGGACAATTCACTTGGCATTTTTTATCATTTTTATCTTTCTCTTGAAAATGATCACTTGGTGATCGAAACACGTGTCAAGGTGTTAAAATAACGGTTTGGTGTTAGAATAAAACTCCAGCAATATTCATTACTACACCAAAGGTTCGAAACAGTGCATCACAAGTAAATAATAACAGATGTCAATGTACTTTGCAAAAAAGTGACTTGAACCTAAGTTTTCGCTGGTCAGGCCCTATCCCCCGAAGTTCGATACATTCGGAGAGTGCATTATCAACCAACGACTACTCCCCACACCGTGGGGTAGGTGATCAACGGGTCCGAGAACCATGTGCCCTGAGCAAGTGCAGTGAGCCAAGAATGACAACCTTCTGCATCTGTCCGGCTGATTTCTGCCTTAGTGCAGCAAGCCGGTATAATTCTGAGATTCGAGAGCAGAGAGGGCATCATTCCACCAAGGACTCCAATAATCAGAACAACCATCTTGACAGAGTGGTCTGGATAGAGTCTGCGGAGTTCCAAGAGAAAATCTCGATATTTTATCCGTTTTTTATTCTCTTTCAGGAAGATATTCGTCTCATCAGAAGCTGAAAACTTCACGACAAATATCGTCTTGCTCTGGTGGTCGAGAAGGACTACATCAGGCTCATTAGCTTGTATGAGCCTGAGGGTGGGGAACGAATAGTTCCAATAAATTTGACACTTCTCGTTCCCCACAACGGCAACGCCGGTGACTCGTCAATACCGTAAGAGGGCCGTAATTGGTAATGAAGCACTCTCAGGGCCGCATTATGTCGATGGATTTAGGCCGAGACTGCATATGCTGGACATGCTGACAGTAAGGGCATTACGGCCTGCAGTCCTGCACCTTGTGTCAGGAACCTCTATATATATCACGCGACTGCAGTAGACTAAGGTGTTAAGACACCATCTTGGCAAGTCATGATGAACCCCTCAGATTCCGACTTCAGCCCACTCGACCTGAGGAAAGCGAAAGTCAAGCGCTTTGATAAACCTATGTCTTCAATGTTATTGAAGAAGACCTCATGTATTGGCTAATCTTTGTGTTGCCGCATAAGTGAGGCTCTCTGCGGCTTTTATACGAGCCTTTTGCTGAACGGGTTCCAATCGGTGACAGAGTTTTGACGATCTCGGTCTGTGTGGAAAACTAAACCGAGTTCATCAGCTTCTCGGGCAACTGCCCTAAAGGGAAATGCTCCAACTCCTGTTCTCTCGTGGTCGAAAACCATGCAGAGAACGGGATCCGAACTCCTGACGACTTTACAGGCTCCAGCTGATTAACGAAAAAACATTTTGAATAGATTTAAACAGGTCCAGTACCTTCTGTCATGTAGACACTCCAAACTCCAATATTCACGGCCTCCCTGTTGTCGAGGGAAGTACAACCGTGGAACGGACGATTTGG